AACACAAAAAGCTGACCATTACAAATGCCTATTGTCATGGCAACAATTCTGAGACAGTAAATTCACTGAAATAAAGTAATAGCCTGACCACTTGCCCAAAAAAGGGGTGGGGAAGCACAATTTTATAAATTTATATTTTTCATTGGTCTTAAAATTTTTAATTTTAATTAGTATCTGAATGATGAGATTATCTAAATTTTTAATATCTTGGTGAATATAACACCATAATTTATGAAATTCTTTTTACAGTCTAGAATTGATTTTTAAACATGTTAGAAAAAGCATAAATCAAATAGTCTGATAAAAGTTATTCTTTAATTTTTGCTATTTTTAGTGTTATGCTCATTGAAAAAAGTTTTAAATGATTCCTCTGTTATTCACATGCTTGGTTCTGTGACTTCACTTTTATTTATTTTATTTTTTTTTACTTTTTTTGTAACAGGGTCTCACTGTAGCCCAGGGTTCTTTGAACTCATGATCCTACTAGTTCAGCCTCCTGTGTGCTGGAATTACAGGTATTAGCCATTATGCCTGACATGACATACACTCTCATTCTGTTTCTTGTAGACTGTTAGATATTACATTGGACAATGGAATCATTTCTTCGATTGTGTAAGTAAAATTTTTGCCAGAGTCAAAATGTGAAGAAGACCAACTGTTTCTATTTTGGAAAATTCCCACAGACTTGTCCATTTTTTTTCCTAAAAGAAACTGTGTTTCATTGTCTACTGTAGGTATAAATACCCTATATATATTATTTGAAATGATATCTGTTGGGCTTGGGGAGTATAAGGGAAATGAAGTTAGGAAGAGTTTGGAAAGTAATTAAAATGACTAAAATTTCCAATATGAAAAAAATCTAGTATGGAGTTAATTTATGCCATCAGTCAATTATTAATTCTAGTCATAAATGTATCTAATACTGATGCAAGCTTTTACTATTTTAGAGAAAATAAGTTTAATTCTAAAAGGAAGAAAAACTTACATGTTAGCTGAGTTCTATTTTAAAACTCTGGTGTCTTTAAATATAACCATAGCTTTCTGTGTTTCTGTGGTCCTCAGTCATATGAATGTTGTGCTTATTTGCTTTGTACCATATTCCATTTTATTAGTTTAACCAAGAGCAGACCACCTACTGCAAAGGAAGTAATGCCACAGTGGACTTAAAATACAGAATGTCTGGTAAAATTGGATATCCAGCTACAGAAGAATGAAATTAGACCCCTCTCTTTCACCAATTACAAAAATCAACTCAAAATGGCTTAGAGAATTAAATATAAGAACTAAAACTATGAAATTACTAATAGAAAACATAAGGGAAATGCTTCATGACATTGAAGTGGGCAAGGATGTTTTCAATAAGACCCCAAAGCACAAGAAACAAAAGCAAAAATAGACAAATGAGATAGTATCAAACTAAAATGTGTCTTGGAAGTAAAGGTAATAATCAGTAGAGTGAACAGGCAACCTACAGAATGGGAGAAAAACTTGCAAATTACACATTTAGCAGGGACTCTTTCCCAGAATATACAAAGAACTTAAAACAACTCTCAGAGAAGAAATAACAAATGGCCAATGGGTGTGTAAAATAATGCTCAGCATAGCTAATAATCAGGGAAATGCAGATCAAAAACAATGAACTATCACCTTTTATTAAAAAAACAGAAGATAACAAATGCTTCCAAGGATACAGAGAAAAGGGAGCCTTTGAACATTGGTGGAATGTAAATTAGTTTAGCCAACTGTTTGTGGAAAACAGTACAGAGGATCCTCAACAAAAATAGAACTACTTTATGATCTAGCAATCCTACTACTGGGTATATTTCCAAAGGAAATGAAATCAGTATGTCAGAGAGTTACCTGCACTCCCATGCTGATTGCAGTATTATTGACAATAATCAAGAAATGGAAATAGACTAAGTGTCCATCAACTGGTGAACTGGATAAAGAAAATATGTTTCCTAGATACAATGGAATACTGTCTAGTCATAATATGAATGAAGAAAGCCCTGTCATTTGAGAAAATACGGATAGAATTGGAGTTACATTAAGTAAAATAACCCAGGCACAGAAATAAAAGTACTACATGATCATACTCATATTTGGAATATATAAGAAACATTGATCTCATAGAAGTTGAGAGTAGAATGGTGGTTACCAGCAGCTGGAGAGAGTAAGGGAGGGATGGGAAAACTTTAATCAGTGGTACCAAGTTTATATTTAGATAAGAGCAAGAAGTTATGGTGTGCTATTGCACAGTAGGGTGATTATAAATAACAATAATGAAATGTACATTTTAAAAAGAAGAAAGGATTTTAAAATTGTTATTTTAAAGAAATGATAAATGTTTGAGGAGATAGGTATGTTTAACCTGGTTTAAATATTATATAACACAAAAATGTATTGAAACATCACATGGAACCCTAGTACTGTGTACAATTTTTATGTTTCCATGTATTTGTGAAAAAATTAATTAAAAAATACAGAATTTTCTATAGCTGAATTAAAGCAAAAAATAGTGACAAGTATCACCATGTAACCCAGGCTGACCTGGAACTCATGATCCCTGTTTCTCAGTCCCCCAAGTGCTGGGATTATAATTGTGCACCACCATACCCAGCTTCATAAAAAGTATATTAATATAGGTCCTGAATTCCTTATCTGAAACTCTTAAGGTCATATGTGTCTCAGAGTGTTTTTCAAAACATCTGCTGCCTTTTAGCATGCATGTAGTAATTCCCATCAGGGTTTTAGGCAGCACTATCTAATCAAACATTAATATTTTTGTAAGAAAATACATATTCACATAAAATGAGATTTAAAAATATAAATACATTTTATCAGATTTTTCTGTCCAATAAATTTACACCACAATTATGGAAAAGCATTTTTGTGTTCAGAATTCCTGTATTTTGGAGTTGTAGAGAAGAGACAATGGAATTATAATGATGCCAACAATGCCTGTGTAGTAGCAAAATTTTAAATTTATTCTTTCATAATTTCTATATTTTATACTTATATAAAATTAAAAAAAATATTTTAAAAAGCCAAACAAAAGGGGAGAAGAAATAAATGTCATAGTTATCTTTTTTAGAAATGTGTATCTTAGAATCAATAAAATACAGTGACTTCAGCTACATTATAAATATTGACATTTAAAAATCCAACTATTATATCGCTTACTTGCAATGTTCCTAACTCTAAGTACAATATTAAATTAATACCTACTGTAAACAGTGCTGGTGCAGTCTATGATCAGAAGATCTTGGTTTTTGTGATCCAAATGGAAGAATCCAAGCAGAACACATGCATGGGGTGAAGTAGAATAGCTTTACTGAGGGAAGGGGAGTCACCATTCTGCCAAGTGAGGAAAGGGAAGAAGTAGAAGGGAGAGAAGGGCGGGGTCTCTTGGTAGGTCGTTTTTATACTACCTTGAACTTGGAGGCGGGGAGACACTACATCATTATCTGGCTCCTTTCACCTGTCAGCTAGGGCGAGGAGCCCTTGAGCCAAGAGGGGAAGCAGTCCCAAACTATCCCTAACCTAGCCTGCCTCACTACCATCATTCACTTTAGAAATAAAATATATGGTTTTCAAGAAAAAGTAGCTGAGATTTGACTAAAAAATTTAGGGAAAAAAGTGTGGAAAGGAATAGATGAAATAAGATTGAGAAAATATTAGTAATTGTTGAAACCAGGTGATGGAAGCTCACTGTGTCATTCTCTCCTTTCATATGCTTTGAAATTTCCATAATAAAATAAATTTTATATAAAGATAAACAAACTCCCCTTTGTCTTAAATATTACAGAATTCCTCTCTCTCTGAATTCATTTTACCATTTCACACTTCCTTCATAATCTCATCTTAATTTTTATTTATTTATTTTTTTGGCAGGGGTGCTGGGAATCAAACCTAGTGCCTTATGTGTGCTGTGTAAGCTCTTTACCACTGAGCTATATCCCTAACCCCTTAATGTAATTTAAGCTTGATAATCTTATCTTGATCACTCTATCAAACTCCTCTGCCACAATATTGGCAATAATTGAATTTAAAAACTTATTTTCTGGGTTCAGCTTTTCTGAGACCCCTCCTATACAGCATTTTTTCTTCTGTTTTCCTCTCTGCTTAATAAACCTCTGCTCTTTTGCTAAAGAAAGAAAGAAAAAAAACCTATTTTCTGTGATCTAAAAGCTCTGGGTATTATCATTTTTTCTCAATTAAAATTTCTATACAGGCTGGCAGAGTGACTCAAGTGGTAGAGCGCCTGCCTAGGAAGTGTGAGGCTCTGAGTTCAAACCCCAGTACAGCCAAAAAAAAAAAAAGTTCCATGAATAAAATTTCAATACAATAATAATTAGTACATAAAATAATCATTTTACATGTGCTCTATGAAATTATGAAAAAAGATAAAATTTTTATTAGAATTGTACTTCTTAAGGAAGTAGATGGTTCTGTTTGAGGCAGGCTGGAATTAGGGAAAGTTTGGGACTCTTAAAAAATATATGACTTAATATTGTTTTCAGATTGAACAGTTCTCTCTTTCTGAGCCTTCTCTTCAATTGCAAATATGTACAGGTTATCCCACCCTAGCTCAAGGACAACTGAAACCACCTTCACCTGGCCCAAGTGTTAGGAAAAATGCTGCTTACAAAGAAAGCTCATGAGAAAAGTCTCACGTCCAAGAGCAAAGTTTAAAGGCAGGCTTGAACTGCCAGGCTGGCCAGGAAAGATGGTGCAGCACAGATTCTGGGCCAGGCATGGCTTTTATAGAAGGGGGAGGTTAAGGAAGTTAGCACATGTGCGGTAGTCTCTAGTAGGGGTAGGGCTGTCTTAGAGCATGGGAATTACTGTCCTTGGAGTTTCTCAAGTGAGGTCTGAGGATAAAATGGCCACTGATTTACAAATGGTGACATTATTCTATCATTCCCCCATTTTTTCTTTAATAATGATGAGGGTAGGGGCTGAGGATTGGGAATTGAGGTGAAGTGTCGGTCTCTTACCTGCTTCCTGTATGGGATGAGATCATCAGACTCTGCGAGGCCCTCATAGGAGTCCTCTGGACGCTTCTGGAGAGGTTGATATCCCTGGGGTACAACTGGGTATGATACAAGGGAGGAAGCTTAAGAACAGGAGAGCAAGAAACATAGGCATTAGGATGGGCATTGGCCAGGAGAACCTCTGTGAAATGTTATTCCCTAGAGAATTCCAAGAGTCTTCCAACTCCCTTCTCTGTTTTTCTAACTGTTCCTTGAGAGGTGCTGCCACTAGGGGATCCCATTGAGCTTGACAGCAGTGAGTGTCATGAGAATGAGCAGATGAAGGCTGGTCCACCAAAGTTCCAATGGAGAGAGTAGAAGATCCTTTAGGAGAACAAGATCCCCTGGTTTAACAGAAATTGTTATAGGGTGGGGCAGGATCTGGTCTGCATGCTCTCTGAGAAGTTCCCTGAGAAGGTTAAGATAAGGTAGGTAGTCAGCCAGAGGAGCAGAGTCTGTTGGAGGCAAGTTTTCTGAGAGAATGTGTGGGTGGCCATACATTATTTAAGACCCAAATAGGAATATTAGGAGGAGCATAAAAAGGTGTCTGCTAAGGGACTGCATGCCTAGGGATCTAAATTATGCAAAATTCTGTAACTCCCAAGAAAGCTGTAAGCTGCTTTATGATATGGCAGGGGGGAGGGAAATGGAAGATTGGGTTGATTCACTCATGACTCAGGGAGTGAGTCTGTCCCTTTAAGGCCACACCTAGGTAGGTGACCTGTGGGAGGCAGGGGCTGTCAGGATTTAAATGTAACACTCTTGGATAAAAGAGAGCTCTAGTTCATTTTTAATACAACTTTACATTTTTAACTTTGTAAATGTTTGTACCATATTTAGATTAGGATAGGCACAACACTGTTATAAGGTGGCCATTTAAGACCACCTTAAGATACATAAGCAAATATGTAAATGCACTCTTGATTTGGTAGTACTTAAAGCTTGACAAGATCAGCAGAAAACACAAATGATTTCTTTGATAAAATCTTTCTCTGTAATGGTTTTCTGTAGATGTTACTCAGAGCAGAACAATATTAAGGTAACCTTGTTATTTTATAGACATAGAGAATTTGATTTTAGTTTGACATGACCCTAAAAATCTTTTAGGCAACTCTTAGATTATAGTCAGCTTTAACTTTAACACACACCAAAGCTTTTTATTATACACTTTTAAAACTTACCCAGACCTTTATATAACATACTAAACCCTTTGATGGCTCATCCTTATCCATCCTATTTGAAACAATCTTTAGGACAAACCCTTCTTTACAAAATCCTTTCTCATCCAAAAACATTCCTTTTTCCTTTAACTTCTCAAAAAATACATTCACTACCTATCTATATCCTTTCCAGTTGTTTACTTTATAACTTGTATTTTAAAGTTAACTTTTATAAGAATTTTGAATTTATTATAGGGGCTGAAGCAAGTAATTAGTAGCCCTTGTTGTTTTAAGGAATTTATGGTAGGCATAAGGCCTCATCATCCCTCAGGCTTGAGGGGATATTGTTTTGGGTGTGGAAACTGTGAGGGATCTTTGAGTTTTATTTGAATAAGGAGGACCAGCCTGGCTCACCCTACACTCATCTCATCAGTCCACAGTGTGGAATCTATTTGTTCCTAAAGGAGGGGGCAGCAGAGATAGCTGCCTGGGGGAAGGAGAATTTGAGCTTTTAATTGAGATAGTAAATGCCATCCCAGTAGAGGCACTGGAATTTCAGAAACTATGAGGAAAGAGTGACAGAAGAGGAAGTCTCTCCAAGAGCAGGCCAGAGGCTGGGTAAAATAGCGCTCTAGGGGCTGACCAGATTTGCCCCAAATGATAACCTTGTCATTGGACTGGGGACCAGGAGAAAATGGTAAGACAGAGAAACAGCTCCACTGTCTAGGAGGAAAATGATCTTTTGTTTTTCTGCCACAATGACTCTCATAAGGCTCCTCAACATTAATGCCAAGAACTGGAGCATGGACAGGGGGTCAGGACCCATCAATCTGTAGGAGGTGGCACCTCACCTTCTATCTGGAGGCAGGGGTACTTAGACCTCCAGTGGTTACCTTTGCAGAAAGGGCAGGGTCCCAATTGGGGTTGGGGCTAACTCCCATGCTGTCCCCCCTTTTTAGCATCCTCTGTAGAAGTGCCCCTCCTGTCCACCATGGTAGCAAGTTCAGAATGCAGACCCCAGTCAGGTGGGGGCAGCAATGAGGTCATGGTATCCCTTATCTTTTTCTCTCTTGTTAGTAATGTCCTGGTTATAGTATACAGACATGGCTAGTTGTATTAGTTGATCCAGTGATTTTTCTCCATCAGCTGCAGACTGAGTTTTCTACAATATCTGGGGCTGACTGTTAGAAATTTATCTTTGAGGAGAGCCTCTCTCACCTGTGACTCTGGGTCCACTGTGGTATGCTTTCTGATAGTGTCCTTAAGATGCTGCAGAAAAGTAAGAGGATTTTCTTCAGGGCATTGCTCTAAAGCAAAGTTATTATTTCACATTGACACGTGATATTCTGGAGAGAAGGTCTCTGAACCGTTCTGGGCCTCAGTTTCCTCCCTTGAAGAATGAGGGATCTGGTCTAGGTTAAACTACTTTCTTCCACTATGAGATGGCTGAAGTGACATTAACACCATTTATCTGTCTTACCATTTTTTTTTTGATTTAGCAATGTTGGGGAACACATGCTGGGCCAACACTCTCCCACTGAGTGAAGTCCCTAGCCCCCAATTTTTTTTTTCTTTTTTTTTTTTTTTTGGCTATACTGGGGGCTTGAACTCAGAACTTTGTGCCTGCAAAGCAGCACTTTACTCCTTGAGCCATATCACCATCCCCTTTTGGTGTGGATATGTCAAGGGAACTGCCTGTGCCCCTGTAGGTAGGCACATTTATTCCCTCATTTCCAGGTACCATTAGTATTGGGGCTTATTGTAAATGGTAATCATTTCCAACCTGAGTGGCCTGGGCCAGAACCCATTGTATTTCTAATGAGACAAGAGTCTGGTCTAATAGAAGCATAATATCCTTTCATGTAAATTGAAAGGTTTAGATCACAGAAATAAAGGCTTGAATGTATTTGTCTGGGCATCAATATAGCTGTCTAGATGTTTTTTAATTTCCCTTAGATCTGATAGCTGGAAGGGGACATAGACTTGCCCTCTTCCTACCATTACCTATTGAAGGAGGAAGCACTCATTAGGAGGTTATGAATATTAGGGTGGCTTAGAAGGTAGGGCAGAGGGTGTTTATGCTGTGGCTTACAAAGAATGGCCAGCGTGTGAGTATCAGATTGTAGAGCCAATCTGAGATGAAAGAAAATTTGTATAGGGGACCTCAGTTCACTTTTTTTTCTTTTATAGAAAAGGTCTAATTGGAGTATGGTATTATAATTTAAGGAACCCTGTGAAGGCCACTTCTCTTAGTCACCCAAGGCATACTGAGGCCAGGCCTCGGTACAAAGCTTACAACATCTACAAGCCAGAAGACTGGACGGTGCAGGTCCCATCTAGAAAGAACAGAACGCTAGGATCCTGTCTTTTAGTTAACATCAGGCAGCCTCTTTAATAAAGGCTACTTTTTTAACAAAGGAATAAATCATCTGTAAAGTTAGAGAAGGGCATTCAGAGGGCATCCTGGACCAATAACAGTACCATACAGGACAAGTAGTGTTAATATTTTGAAGGAAAAATTTATGCTGAGGCCAAAAATATAGAAAATTTTAAATGAGAAGTTTAGAGACCACAGTAATGTGCTATTTCTGGGACTATAACCTTGAGCTAACAATTGGCTTACAAGGGCTGGGTCCAGTGCCCCAAGGTGTGAGGTAGGGCTAGGAGCAGGGTGTGCTCAAGGCACTGACCCCCTCCACACACACCTGAGACAAGCGAGCCTGACTGCCTAGGCCTGATCCTGAGGCCTGTTGCCCCTCCCCCCTTCCTGTGTACTCTGCGTGCGTTTATTCTAGGGGAAGTGACAGCAGGCCACAGCTACCGCCATGTGCAGTTGGCAGCCTAGGATGTGTGTTGGGTTGGCCTATGGATTCTCTTAGCTATGGTAGGCATTCCCGCTGTGCACAAGCACACCTATTTGCTTTCCCTCCTCCCCTTGTGGGGGCGGAGTTAGGGCATTAGTGTGGCAGCCGCAGTTTTTTTTTGTAAGTGCTTTTGCCATGTAGCTGATTTAAACTTACTTTAGACTGAGAGGCCTGGCAAACTAGTTGGAATAACTTAAGTCATAAGGTAACATGCTGCAAGTTTTTCATGGGAGGCCAGGATCCCAGTAAGCCCAGGGAGGGGAAGGCAGACAGAGACAAAGGACACGTGGTGAGACCATGGAGGAAGCAGAAAAGGTGTCTGGACATCTTAGGTAAGGGAGGGGAAGGCAGAGCCTGGAGGCATGACACATCCCTGAGGGATTAGCTATCACCTGTGCCTCTAGGTCGCTCCCATTGACTGGTACTGGAACACTTTCAGCAACACAAAACCTCCACTCTCCAGTCTCTGTCTCAGGAAAAAGGGGCATTAGACCAGGGGGACGGGGGGAGGGGGGGGAAGCAGTCGTCAGATGCCATAATCAAACAGGACTCCCCAATGTAGCATGAGGTGTACCCAAACAAACCCCAGTCTTGGTCTCAGCCCACAGAGAGGGAGCATGAGCTCTCCCAGAGCTGGAATTGACTTGAGGCTAGAGTTGGCAAGGAGTGGCTTGACATCATGATGGGAAAGTCCCTCAGGAAGATAGGAAGAGACAAGCAGTCTGAGCACCAAGAAGTCTGCTTACATGGGGAAGGAGGTGGTTTGAGAGAGGATTTGGTTCATTTAGAAGATGGTTTAGAGGCTAATAGAACCTACACAGGGAAACAGGGAGTACAAAGGGAGGGTTTGGTGCAGAGATAGGAAAAGGATTGGGCGTAGGGTATTTACTTTCGTTTCCCAGCTTACTCACAGAAATTGTATAAATCCCTTAAAATATTGAGATTGAAAGTGCCATTAAGTGGCCATTTGGAGACATTGTCTAATGAGTATTGAGGCCATGCCTGATTACAGAGAAAAATGGGCTTTCGGGGCTTAAGATCAGGTGTGAGGTGTAGGGGCCCAAGATTGGCCAGAAGACATCCCAATGGGGAGTCTGAAGGAATTTTGGATGGTCCAACTCCCATGGTGAGGCCTGACCTGAGGAGAAATATGGTGGACATCCCTGAAATATCAGGTCCTCAGGAGAGACAGAGAGAGATGTGGAATACCCAGAGGGAACGTCTTCACCACGGGGGTCTACAGTCCCTAGTGGGGAACCTGGTTCCCAGGGATGGGAGCAAGCCAAGACCTAGCGCTAGGTTTTCAAGGAAATGACAGAGGAAATTCTTAGTTCTGCATGCAAGAAGGACTCACCGAGAGAGGACCTTGAGGGAAGATTGGCCAGTGGTGGATGGCAATTGGAGGTGCGCTGGAGCGGAGGAATTTCCCTGTGAGCTGTAAGAGAGTGGCGTTTTCTAGAATTGGGGGTTCCGGCAAAGCAGCTCAGATCCCAGAGGAAGGGAATGGGAGTTGAGAGAGAGAGAGCGGGATGGGGTGAGGGAGGCCGAGAAAGCAAGGTCAGTGCTGGGAGCGCACCTGATCTAAGTCATGGCACCAAAATGTTAGGAAAAACTCTGCTTACAAAGAAAGCTCACAAGAAAAGTCTCATGTCCAAGAGCAAAGTTTAATGGCAGGCTCAAGCCACCAGGCTGGCCAGGGAAAGATGGCACAGCACAGATTCTGGGCCAGGCGTGGCTTTTATAGAAGGGGGAGGTTAAGGAAGTTAGTGCATGCATGGGAGTCTCTGGTACAGGTGGGGCTGTCTTAGAGCACGGGAATTACTATTAAGGGCAGAGCTGTCCTTGGGAGTTTCTCAACTGAGATCTGAGGATAAAATGGCCACTGATTTACAAATGGCAACATTATTGTTCTATCACCAAGGACCACCCATGACCCTCTGCACTCATTTATTACTAGTTGGGAATCACCAAGTTCTTCCCTTGGTTATCATAAGTTTTAAAAGCACCTGGAAAAGAGAAATACTCTCTGCTTCCAGTTTCCACCTGGGCTCACCATGCTCCCTTTTGTAATCCCCTTCCTAATTTTTAATAAATTCCATTTATATGCACATGTCCTGCACTTTGACACTTCTAGGTAGGACATGAGGAATTTGGAAATCTGCTAATCAGAGACTGCACCATTTCCATTAATATGTATAGTTTCTTAAATTTCAGTTCTACATTAATATTATTAATTGCTAGAATGAAATAGGCTCAGTATCAATTTCATTTCTATTATTTTAATTTGTGTATTTTAAGTGGTGAGAAACTGTTTACATAAATAAATAGATATGAATATAAAAAACGTTGTTTTTGCAATGTTATTTTAAAGTCTTTCTGAGTTATACAACCAGAAATTAGGTCCTCCTTCAATTCTGATGAAAGCAAAGAAGTAGAAAGTTAATTTGCTATCCAGTTTAGAACAATCCATTTCTCACCAGCAACCTCCCTATTTCAAGTTTCCCTTTGTGTGGTGCCTGGGAGGTGTTTATACTTGCTGCATTATGGTACCACTTGGAATGATTGAGAAATATACATTGTAAAGAACACTTGGGAAAGTGTTCATATTAAGATGAAGATGAAGATCTAGTAAACTATTCCCTTTAAAAAGTTATGCTTTCCTATATCTCACCTTTTTTTTTGTCTGAAAAGTAGCAGAAAAAGAATACTGAAATGAATTATTGTTTGTAATGTCATTTCCACTCCCTTCAATGTGAACTCAAGTTTAAAGACTGCTCAACTAGAATCAAAAAGCTCAATCACAATTAAGAGGCAATTCAAATATAAAAACGGAGGACTACATTTCAATGGGAGCAAAGGAGAAACCATTTCTTCACAGTAGGATGTTAGTTGATATAGGAAAGTTCCTAAATATTTTCTTCTTTAAATTTCTATCGAATTCCAAGTGTCAGTATTGGGGATTAGTGGTTTATTCAGCAGCTAAGCTGGAGTAGAAGATTGTAGATGCCAATGAAGTGAGCAAAGCTCACTGTAGAACCACTGTAGAAGTGTGCCAAGGCAATACAGCAAACAAAAAA